ATATATATATATATATATATATATATATATATATATATATATATATAAATATATATAATATATATATATATATATATATATATATATATATATATATATATATATATATATATATATATATATATATATATATATATATATATATATATATATATATATATATATATATATATATAGTTAGATAGATAGATAGATAGATAAAGGCCACTACAGACAAGGAGGCTGCTTAGTTGTAGTTATAAACCCTCTCTCAACTCTATAACTCCGAAACACAAACCTTGACAAACAAGGTTGCTGGGTGGAGAAACCAGTTAAGTTCCATTTCCTTCTGCCTTGTGGGATTCACTTTCTAAGCAAAGGCTGGAAGGAGTTTGCTTCCTGTCATTAGTACTATTTAAAAATAGTCATGCCTATAGCAATATATAATTTTAGTAATATTTAATTTTTTCATTTGCGAGTGCCTTTTATATAGTTGATGGTACCTTAGTTACTGCCTTAGCTTACCTGTAATCTACTTGATATGTGTATTTATGTTCTATCACCCATGAGTTGCTATCTGTATGTTTGTGTTCTGCCTGAACCTAGTGCGGTGTTTACTCACTCTTAAGTTACTTTATGTACATTTGTGCTCTGTTTGAACCTCTAGCGCAGTGTTCATTCACTTATAAGTTAATTTATGTTTATTTATGTATGTTTGTGTTCAGTCTGTTTATGTTTAAATGTATGTTTGTGTTCTGTCTGAAACTCTAGCGTGGTGTTGGTTCATCCATAAGTTACTTTATGTGTGTATGTTTGTGTTCTGTCTGAATCTCTATCATGGTGTCTACTCACCCATAAGTTTTTTTATATATGTTTGTGATCTGTTTTAAATGTTCAAATGTTCTGTTTAAATGTTTAAATCTGTTTTGAAGCATTGTGAGCTCATTAATTAACTAGTAACTCCAAGTATAAACTTTAATTCCTCACTTCAGCCCTCACCTTAATTTCTGATATTTTGTTACATGCAATATTTTTCCTAGTGCATTTCCAAAATATCATGCCTAAAGTTTTAAGGTACTGTTTGCAGGAAGTAGCTTGCTTCAATTATTCCAGGTCAGGTTCAGGATCATCACGATCATCCTGCTACTGGTATTATGTAATCCAGTACTACCTGCCCCATGCCCTGCTGCATTGTAGGGTGTGCTTTTTAGACAAAGGCTAAGACAAAACAAACTCCGATATAAAAATCTCCTGCCTTGGGCTTTTGGTTGAGTAAAGGATCCAGATGGTGTCTTGATAAAAATACTTATCTTGAGCAGATGTTAACTGCATCCAGCTACTGTCTTGGAGGAGACCTCCTAGACAAAAGACTTTAGGGGTAAACGAAAAATTCTGCTAACCTTGGGGGTTTACATGCGCATCAATTCACCAATTTGTCGTAAAATCAGGTTTGAATTCTTGGACCATTCTTTGATGTGCTTTCGCTTAGCACCTCTTCACTCTACCACCTTTTTCTTTGTTCTTTATTGTTTTCAATTTTCCCAAGACTTCACTCTTTTAGATGCAATTTCTGATCAAATTGACTATGCCCTTTCTTTTTACCCCTCTGCTAATAATGTTGTCATCAATGAATTTAATACTCATCACACTGAATGGGTTGGCTTTAACGCCACTGACTCTGCAGGCACTTTAGCTTATAACTTCTGCATTTCTCAATCTTTCATTCCGGTAGTTACACTGGTGGCCAAAAGTGTGTATCCATCAAAGATTTTTTTTTAAAGTAACCAAAACCATTTTTTTTAATTTTTGAAGGTTTTTTATTACTTTTTTTGGTTTTTAAGGATAACAACAATATAATTCAAAACATATGGAAAATAATATAAGTGAGATTTAGTTTATTTTGATGCTGCAATGGGTGATTTAGAACCAACAAAACATGGTGCAATATATGCACTTTATAAAGAAGGTTTTAGTCAAAGACAAATTGCTGAAAAAGTTGGTGTATGTAAGTGAACTGTTCAAATAAATATTAAAAAAGGAAAAGATAGCTGTTTAGAGACTTGCAAAAGATCCAGTCGACCAAAAATTATTAACAAAAGAGGTGAAAATTTGATTAAAAGAATGGTGGTAAATAATCCAAGAATCTCTTCAAAGGAAATATTGAAAATAACTTCTTAATTTACACACATTTATGTTAATGTTTACATAAAATAAAGGTTTTATGATAAAATGTTTAAAAATTTGTTTTATTGAGGGTGGATACACACTTTTGGCCACCAGTGTAACTTTGTGACTTGCTTTCCTGACAACCCTAATCATTTAACTTCATTCTTTGATTTATGTCTTGTTCTGATTCTAGTTTGTGTTCAGTTTCTCCTTTTTTCTCCCTTAGGTGGTGCTGACCATGCAATGATCTCTTTAAATCTTTTATCTTGCACTTCCTTTTCAGACTTACCCTATTATCACACTACTTATTACTACCCTGGAATTCACACTACTTTTTACTGACTGGAATTCTTTTCGTGATGTTCTTTGTGATGGTCCTTGGGCTTATGTCTTTTCTCTCTCAGCCAAAAAATGTGCCTCACACATAACCTCCTGGATTCAGGTAGGAATGGGAGCTTTTATTACTTTTTGTTGGTTTCAAGTCAAGCCTCATTCTAGTTCATGATCTTCACCTTTTTGTGCAGCTGAATCATCTAATCGTAATTATTTTGAAAAATCTTTTTCAAAAGAATAACTTTCTTGGGAACAAATGGCTGTTTATTATTGCAAGAAATCAATGAAAAAAGGTGTTGTCTGATGCTAAGCTCCATTATTCTCAGTTCACAAAATCTTAGAAGTTAGGCTCTAGAGACTTTTGGAAAATCTTTAACAGCATCATTAGCAAGGAAGGTCTAACATTCCATCTCTCATTTATGTGACTGATCTTATTACCTCTCCCAAGGATAAGGCAGAATTATTTGCAAAGAACTCTTTTTCAAACTTGATTCTTGAATCTTATGGCCATTCTCTTTCTTTCATTCCAATTAACAGGTTAACTCATTGTTAGACATTCAAATCACTCCAGCTTCCGTTGCAAAAGTCATATCTCAATTAAACTCTTCTACAGCTTGTGGTCCAGACAACATTCCTGTCACAGTCTTGCAGAATTGTTCTCCAGAACTCTCTTAAATTCTCTCTAGAATGTTTAATAAGTGCCTAAATGAATCCTGCCTGCTGGAAAATGGCATCTATTGTTCCAACTTTCAACTCCGGTGAATATACTGACCCCTCCAATATTCTTCCAATCAGTCTTCTTTCTGTTATTAGCAAAGTCTTTGAGTCTTTGACCAACAAATTCTCAAACCCCATCTTGAATCAAATAACTTTTTTGTCAGACAATCAATACGATTTTTGATCCTCTAGCTCTATGACTGACTTGCTAACTGCTGTGACTTAAAGATTTTATTGTGCATTAATTGTAGGTGGAGAGACTAGAGCTATTGCTTTTGACATATCTAAGGCTTTTGACAAAGTTTGGCATGCTGGTCTTTTTCAACAGCTTGTTTCATATGGCAAGCCTTGTGATGAAGTGGGAACAATCTCACCACACACGTGAAACATGCCCTTTCAGGATATTAAATGGTCTTTCAGGATCGACAAATAGTGCTTGCTAGTTTTATTACGAGAGCAAAAAACTGCGCTCATCTGAAGAACTTGCAAGGGAGGAAATTATAAGTTGATTAAATAGAAAATATTTTTAGTAAAAATTTTTTGCTGAAGTCAAAATATGTTTAAACAGTAGAGTTTGCATATTGTTAAAAAAAGAAGTTATATTCGTAATAAAGTACGTCACGCATAATTTATGTATGAGGTACTTTAATTTCAATTTATGGGGCATAAGTTTAAATTAAAAATGATCTTTTTCTTCTATTTGAAAGCTAAATTCAGCATGTTTTTTTTTTAAAATTCCAGTTAAACTGTGTTAACCATACCCTAGTTAATTCGAACCATTTACCAACCTGTACAGTTTTTAGGGTCTTGTTTAACAAAAAACTTCGCCTGACTTTTACTTTGAATTCCATGAATAAAATTTCAAAACTTGAAACAATAAAAATTTTAAACTTAAATGTTAAAAAATTAAATATCTAGCACAATATTTACAAATATCTTGCTAATTTATTTATAAGATATTTATAAATATCTAGCGTAAAAAATTTATCCAACTAAAACTTCAATTATAGCTTTGATTTTGTTCGAACACAATTAATGACTATTATATTTAAAAATTAAAAAACATCAAAATGTTGGAATATCAAATATTTTTTGTCAAATATAAGATAATAAACTAAATATTTTCACTGATATCTTTGAATTGGTTAAGCTTATATTAAAGTCTATTTATTAAAAAAGTTAAAGCGAAGCGAAACTAAAAATTAAAAAAAAAGTTTCAATAAACAATACATATAACAAATATATTTGTTATATAAATTTGGAAACTTTTGGAAGCTTGCTCACAAACAACAACAAATTTAACACCACTATTTTCACAAACGCATTTCTCAAAATTATGTTTGTATATAAGTTATTTATTATATTTGTATATACTTACACTAATATATATCATATTGGTATAAGTCTATTATATATTTATTAAGTATATAATCAAGTATATAAAAAAATATTCACTAATAATTTAAATTAGAAAGTAGTTTTCTGTTTTGTAAAAACGATGAATGGAAAGTTATGTCATTACTGCTAACAGATAAAATAGAAGGTTTACTATTTTCAAAACATTTTGTCTCAATGAGAATAGAAAATTTAAATTAAAAAATTAAAACTTGATTGAATTTAGAAAAATCAAAAGTTTTAATCCACAAGATTTTGTAAAAAGATTCTTTTGTTTGTTGATAATGTGTTTCAGTATTATGAGCGAGAAATATCACACTGGGCGATTTTATTCATCATATATACTGATATGGTGTATCTGGAAAAGTTTTTGAAATTATCAAACTATTTCTTTCTAACCGCTTTATTAAAGTCATCCTCAAAGGCTGACACTTTTCTACATTTCCAGTAACTTCTGGGGTACCTCAAAATTCTATCCTTATTCCTGTTTTGTTTCTTATCTACATTAATAATCTTCCCAACAACTTTACAACTAAAGTAGCTCTTTTTGTTGATGACTCAATATACTCAATATATATGATAAACTTTATACTTCTGTCTTGAGAAAAAGTTTTTGTGTTTTCAATCGCTTAGAACAGGCAGCCAATCTTGAATCCGATATAAAGTGTAAATCTTTTAAAATAATCTAATGTTAGTATATTCAAAAAAGATTTGTTTAAGTTATAGAGTTCAAATAGATAAGAATTAACTGTGCACAAGAAACACAGGTTTTATCACTCATTAATGAACTTTCATTATTATGTGTTAAAAGCAGCATTTCTCTGTGCTGAGGTAACAGCCTTGATCACTATTTCTCAGAAATATTTCTATATTTAGAAAACAATTTCTCCAAATATTGCAGATAGTGCTGGTGATGCTAATAATTTAAGGGCTTCATTTTTTAGCAGTATATGATAACCAACCATTTAGTACTGAAATAATACTAATAATCCTTATATACTAATACTTATCTAAAGCAATCATCATCGCTATTTATTTTTTAATGTATTTGTTTAGAGTTTTTACATTATTTTCCTATATCTATATGGGATATCAAAATGATATCATTTTGATAAATACTTTAACTGATAATGCAAGATAATTAAGCTTTAAACATGAAATGAAAAAGCAAATGTCTAACTTTGATAGACTTTTTATTTACAATTAACAATCTACCTTTTAAACCAATTTGTGCAAAATATTTTTTCCACAACAAACTTGCTAGCATGATTTTTAATTATATAACTGATTGATCAGTGATCATTTTAACTAAGATTTTTTTCTTGATCATTTTAATTAAGGTTTTTTTCTTAAAGTATAATAGTATAGTATAGTAAACAAAATTTCTTTTTCCCACCTGTAAAAGTTTTGCATCAGCTCCTTCGCTAACTGCATGCATTGTTGCACATACATCATCTAACACACACATTATACCAGGTGGTTTCTATAAAATAAAAGGTTAGAAAGTAATAAAAAAACAACTTAAAACCTCAATAATAGGTAATCAATACGTACAAAGACAAAGTTTTTTAGACTCAATTGCCTGCCAAAAACTGTTAGAGGTTGACAAAAAAAATTTGACACAAAAGGGGTTACTATGAACCATACAAACGAGGTAAGTAAATTTTTGTCGACCTCAAACACTTTCAAGTCGGCAGTTAGGTTAGCATTGTTGAATGCTGACCTTAAATCCGATAACTGTATAAGTAATATTATAACATATTATATATATGTATATATATATATATATATATATATATATATATATATATATATATATATATATATATATATATATATATATATTATATATATTATAATATAAGTATAATATATTACTAACAGTATTTTATTGTAGTATTGTTATATACTATTATGTAATAATGGCTATTCGGATTCCTTTCTAAATAAAATTTGAGGTTATATGATAATTATTAATATTGATCAAGGTTTATCTCTATAAAACATATGGATTGTTTCAACTATATGTGATGAAGTAGGGATGGTAAAATTAGGAACACAACTTGAGTTTGATAATTTCAAAAATTTTAACTTTTACAATTCAAGATTTATTTGGAAATAAAAACTTACCTTTGCTTCAATTAGGTCACATACAATCTTGTTATTGAAATAATCAATTGGAGTCCAAGATATTCCTTCTTCTACATACTCTTCCTATTTATATAACAAAAAAAGTTGTCATTATAAGTTATTAACTCTATGATAACTTATTATGGAGTTTCATAATGAGTGCAAATTATTATGAAATTATTATTATACAATCATACTATGTAATAGAAACAATAAATCAATAGTTTTAGTTTTTCACATAAATAAGTAAACGTTTAGTGAAGAAATAAAATATCAAAAACAGAAGTAAAATTCAATTATCACTTTTAGCTCTTAAGTTAAATATACAAGCATTAACTTTTCCTCGCTTTCTGGTGGTAGTCCATATCTATTAAAATTTTTGCAAAACTTTTCCACCATAAATTAGAATTCTTTTTCCGTGGCAAAAAGGAGCTTTAAGTTTTCTTTAATTTCCTTGTTTACCGGGTTCATCTGTGTTACTGCAGTTTAACCTTTTTAAACTTTTGCTTTTTTCAGTATTTACAAAATTGAAATTATCTATAGTTGTCAGTTTGGGAACTAGCAGAAAACATTCTTTAAACTTTTGCTGGTAGTAGTAGATAAGCTGGTTTTACAATTACTTCATCTGTGTTACTGTAGGTTCATCACAACCAGAATCAACAACATAATTTTCTTGAACATAATTAACTCAAATCTAAGGATTTAAATACTAAATGTTGTTGCATTTCTTTTATCTATTAATTTATCAAATTTTTTATTTTATCCTCATCTTCCTTTCAATATGTTAATTTATATATAAGGTCACAAATAGTAGAGAGACATAAATACTTATTATGAGAAAATGTACTCTATAAACCTCTACTAACTCAATTGCACAACTAAAGTATTTATACTAAAAAAGCCTCACATATGAATTCTTGATAAAAAAATTTATTTAGAGTCATAAGTAAAGGAATAACATCTGACAAATACGCTTCACGTTTGCTTAGGTTAAAGTTTTAAATGGTTCTAAAATATGGGTAGCATGACCAGCTGAAAAAGTTGCCAAAAGAACTCTTTGATAGAGCATTCTTTCAATCATATCATAGGAACTATTCCATCTTGTAATAACATCTTGCAATGATCAATGCTCATTTTTATTAGGTTGTTTCTGAATCAGTTCTAATGGTGGATCTATGCTTACTATTACTAGGTTGTTCCTGAATTGGTACTATTAGGTTGTTCCTGAATTGGTTCTAAAAATGAGTTCCCAGACGTCTGCAACAAGCTAAAATATCTTTCACAGTGTTTTGTGAAAAAATTGAGTTTTTATTAAAAAATTTTAATAAAATTTTAAACTTTTTTTTTTTAATTATTTTTAAAATTTATTTTTGATCAAATTATCTCATTCATTCAAACTTAAACTCATTCATTCAGAGTATATTCATACTTACATACTTACTATACATAAAACTTGCAGCAGATATAGTACTCTTGATAGAAATAAATAGTTCGTTATTTATCAAAATTTCTACTAAAATAACTCCTACTGGGTATTTGATAATTAGGACACATCTCTTCAGTTAAATTTCTAAAACCAAGATCTTCAACAATTGCATATGGTTAAATGCCCAATGCCATTTCTTCAATTACTATGCAATTTAATAAATTTTGATTGCTCTATGATAATTAATATCCCATAACGTTTTTTTATTAAGACTATCTTGTAATGTTAATTGCTTATTAACTAGAGAATTACTTGATGCCAAGGCAGTAATGTTACTTTTTTTTTTTTTTTTTGGATTCTTTTTCAGCTAATATATATATATTCTGCAAAGTGTTTTATTTTAATTAATGCCTTATCTCTGGAAAGTAATGCTTTACATAGCAAATGCAAAAACAATTTTCTTAGAAATTTCAATATATTTCTAAACACTATTTTTAGAAGACTTTTTTTTTGAAGCTATTTCTACAAGATTAAAAAGTTAATATTGAAACATAAAAAGTCAAGTTTAACCAAAAATAAAATATGCCCTTTTAAATATAATTTGTCTAAATATAACTTAAAACATAAAAAAGATGTTATGTTATATTATGTAACAAATGTTACACACATACTCTGTTATTATATTTTTTAAGTTAAATGTCATACATTTATTTTTGTTACCTAACTCTTATATTTGTAGATTAAAATATTAGCTACAAATTTTAAGTTTAATAATATGGAATACGCAATGAAAATATACTTGAAAAAATATATATTTTCAATTTTTACAACAAAACTTGTTAACAATTTTACTTCTTTACACTACAAACAATAAATAATTAACTAAACAAAAACAATAGACATATTTCTTCCTAATATTTTAAAACAAATTTATAACCTTTTCAAAATGACAGATTCAATTCATGTAATTTGTATTCATTTTGATTTATAAAAATGGTATATTTTTTCTACATAAGATAGAAGAGCAATATATTTTAAATAATCTATATACTTTAAATACCTATAAATATATAGATAGATAGGTATAGATATAGATAATGATAATAAAATAACTCAAAAAGAAAAAAAAAAACTACCTGTTCAGCTTTTAGTGTAAGTTCAATAAATATCTGTTGAAGCTTCTCATTGACAAAGTTGATACAAAATTGCTCAAAACCATTTTTCTAAATTTATACATGTTTACAACTATATTATACAATTTTTAATAGCAACTATATTATAATTGATGAGTAAAATTTATTTGATTATTGTTTGTAATACTCATTGTTTGTAATTAAAGTATATATAATAGAAAATTTTTTAATTTGCTATTGTAAAAACAGAGGTATAATTAATTATTATTGTTTCATAATTCTTTATAATAAAAATATTTTTTTAAGAAACATTTACGAATTTTTTACAATTAATTAAAATATAATTACGTAAAATATATTATTTTTGAAAAGTAAAATATAATAATTATAAACTTATGTTTATAATCTAAAAAATCATTAAATTAAGAAATATTAAAACAGATTACTTGTTATTTACCCTAACAAATAATCTATTTATTAGATTGTTTGTTAGGGTAGCATTATTATTTTAACATTATTAAGTCAATAGATATATATAAATAATATCAAAGAAAAGAAATTTATTTTTCAAAACAAGATCAATAAGAAAAATTAAATTAATAAAAAAACAAATCAAAAAAACGCAATCAGATGCAAACGATATATAAGAAGTTAGGAAAATCGATAGAACTTTTTCTTCAACCATTTCAACAAGATAATTTCAAAATATTTACCAACAAAAAACTCTATATAAGAAATAAAAACTATTTATGTGGCTAACACCAATTTGCAATGCTAAAAAGATCGCTCTTGATAACTTAATGATGAGCGTGCATCATCACACTCACATTTATATACAATATAATACAACTATATACAATACAATATACAATATAATATGGTTACAATATATTAGTTATACAATGAAATGCAATTCAAATTTTTTTTTTTTGGTTTATTACTTGAAGCTGTGACTTTTCTTTAAAAAGAATGATTTATAAAATTTGTAACTTTTTAAACTTTTTTCATAGTATTTTACTGTCAGTGATTTGATGACTAAATTTGAACAAATATACTTTACAACTAGTATCTCTGAAAAACTTTTTAAATTTCTGGATAGGCTAAAAATAAACAGAAGTACCTGGAATTCCAGATATATCCAGAACAAGTCACTAATTTATACTGACAATATTTAAATTTATCTAAAATTATTTCTGTAAAGGTATCTATTGACAAAATAAACAAAAAATTATTTTTAATAAACTTGTCAAAATACTTCAAGATATAAATATATATTAAATGTGTTTTACCTGAAATATTTCAAACCCATAGATATCCAAAATACCACAAGAAACATCGCTGCGATCTTTTTGCATAGCCTTGTTTACTGACTAAATATTAAATAATTAACATTGCAAACAGCACTTGCACTACATAATTCTGGATTTATCTAATACCAGTATTACTAAAAATAAAATTGATTTTTACTGAAATTAAAAACTTAATTTTATTTCAAATCTTTCAAATAGAAAAAAAACTACTCATTAATAATTCTATGATAAAAGAGTTCAAAAAATATGAACTTTTATATTATATAACTTTTTTTAAATATTTTTCTATGTTTAAAGTCCATAAAAAAATTTTTTCCTTCCTTTCCTTCCTTTTGTATTATCCATGTTTACTTGATCGTTTCTGCAATCAAGCATAAATCATCTACATAAAATAGCTCTTATGGTAAACCAACACTAAACTCTTTAGAGAAAGAGCTTCCAAAATAAAAATAATAAAAACAAAAGGACTGAGCACTGATGCAAAACCAACTTTAACTTTAAATCTTTATTCTACCTTTTGATTGACGTTTTCATATATAGCTTTAATAACTGATAACAGGTATTCTTTAACACCTAAATACCATTAAGTCAACCACACTACCTCCATTGTATGCTTTCAAAATTTGTTAAAGTCCATTAATCCCATCTAAACATCTTTTTTTCTTTTTTGAAGATCTTTCTTGAACTAGCCTTATGTTAAATATTGCACTTGTTTTTCCAAAACAAAACTACATTTTATTGATACTTCTTATTTTGTTGGCAATAATTCTTTCTAAAATCTTCATTATTTGGTCAAGCAATTTTTATTTCTCAACATAAACTCATTTCTAGTGGGTTGTTCGCCTCCATTATTACCATTATCCTTACTACAACTACCAATATATTTACCATCCAACTTTTTATTCAATCATTTAAGATTTTAGCTTGATGCAAGCTTTGGCTTACTTACAATTGTTGTAAAAAATCTGACACCTATTGAACACTCAATCCTAAAACCTTCAATACCTCAGCCAACACACCAGTAAGTTCAGTAGCTTTGCCTAACTGAGCATTTGAATAGATGACTTCACTTCACTACAGGTCATACTTAAATCTTCTACTAGTTTACTAACCTTATTCACTTTATTAACATTATTATTTATTTATTTATTAAAGTTATTATTATTATTTATTTATAATTTTTTTTATAATAACTCAATCAAAATCTTTGCAGTGTACTTTAAATTAAACTTCATTTAGATCTTCTCATAAAACCTCTCTCTCCTTTCCCTCCTTTCTTAAAAAACTTTTCTCTCCTTTCCCTAGCAACCATTTACAACACTATGTTAATTGTAGAAATGTAAAGACTGAGCTTGACAATAGTCGCACTGATTTAAAAAATATTTAATGTCAAAAACAAAAGCAGCACTTTGAATAAAATTAAAACTTTTCATTAAATACACAACTTTTGCTACTTTCAAAATCTGCTCTCGACTTTTGCTACTTTCAAAATCTTTTAAAGCACACTATGTACCCATGTTTTATAATAACAATCATGTTTTCATAATATATTTATTGATATCACTTGTTTGCTTTTTACTTGGTCAGTTAGTTTTTTTTTTTTAATCATTATTATTTAAACTTCTTTTTGTTGTTTTAAACTACCAATATATCAACACTAAATTTAAAAATTAACCACACAAGGGGATTCTATGCTACTCTGAAGCATTTATACCACAGTCAAATATCATTATATCTTCGTGAAGATAAATATTGATTGTTAATTTTGTCAGCAATAACTAGTGGGTCGACTTAAATGTCGACTTAAAGGCTTTTTTACTTCTAAACTTATCATTTCATTTAAGATTGTCAGGTTTGCTAACAGTGTGTTTTAAGCAAATATAATAGTAAACATTTTGAAAAAAACATATAATGGCAGTTTTTTGTTAAAAAAATTTTTTAAAACTGTAACAGGAAAACTTATTATTTGAGATGTCACGAATATTTAGTGACTCTTGGGTCTTTAGCCTATTCTGTTACTTTTTTACTATTCGATATTTGGCTGAATATTGCAAACTATTCGGTCAAATACCAGATTGTAACAAAAAAAACACCATAAAAATGGATTACATACAACTACTTTTTTTATATTTTATTTTAAACAATAATTGGCATATTTGATAATCTATAGGTGGTAATTTATGATAAAAACACTTTCATCATTTGATGATAGAAAATGATTGCAAATTTCTCATAAACTATATATACTTTCAAAAATAGCCATTCACTATGTACACTATGACAGTGTACATAGTGTACGAAGTAAAGTAAAATCAAATAATAGGAAAATTTTGGCAAGTTTTGTTAGGATAATGTTTTCCTTTTGCTGTCCACAACTTGCTGTCCAATCTTTGCTGTCCAATTTAAGCAAACAGTTTTATGTAAAAACTAATTGATTAGCAATTTGACATTTCTTTTCCACATTTTCATAAGTGCATATTTTTTATAGAGATTAATCTTTCAATTAATCAGTGAACCAGTGAAAAGTTAGTGAATCCAGTGAAAGGTTAATATATATATATATATATATATATATATATATATATATATATATATATACATATATATATATATATATATATATATATATTTATATGTATATATATATATATATATATATATATTTATATGTATATATATATATATATATATATATATATATATATATATATATGTATACATATATATACATATATATATATATATATATATATATATATATATATATATATATATACATATATATATATATATATATATATATATATGTACACATATATACAGGGGTCTGTACATATATATATATATATATATATATATATATATATATATATATATATATATATATATATATATATATATATATATATATATATATATATATATATATATATATATATATATATATATATATATATATATATATATATATGTACACATATATACAGGGGTCGAAATAAGAGCCGGACATCGCCGCTCCTCAGACCATTTTTGAGACTTGCTATATGAGGGCAACCAACCATTGTTCATTTTTACTGCAAAAATGAACAATGGTTTGTTGCCCTCATCTAGCAGGTCTCAAAAATGGTCTAAGGGGCGGCGATGTCCGGCACTTACTTCGACCCCTGCATATATATATATTGTCTTTGTTTTTGTCTTTTTGTTGTTTTTTCTTTGTTTTAAAAACTGCCTGGATTAATTGGATTTAAGCCAGCATTTTAAAATAAAGTGAACACAATATATCAAAACAGTGCCAACCTAAATTTGCAAGGATGCAATGTATTGAAATATAAGTATAGAAAATTAATATAAATTTGAGCACCTCTACTAAATAATCAAACAATCTTGCATAAAGGGCTTTTGCCAAAGCATCTCTTGTGTAACTAGCTTGTTCAACATTCAATGTCATATTAATTACTTCTTTCTTTCCACCCCAAGTACTTTCTACAACTCGACTAAAATATATAAGAGTTTCTATAAAGAAAAAAATTGCACAAAATAAAAAATATAAATATAGTTAAATCCCTCTAACTTGATTTTTCTTTAATTTATTAATGTAACTAATATTTTTATATTAATTTTTAAATAATTATAATATAATCATAACTAATAAGCTAAAATACCATCCATTAACCCTTAAAAAGATTATCTATATCTAGAAAGGCGTCAGCACACTATTTCATTGAAATTCCAGCGCTAGCAAAACAGTTGCAAATAGATTGGTTTTTTACCTTCTTCCAAGCAACAACAAGTGTTTACATGACATCCAATCTAGAGAATTACAAGAGACTTTTTTCATTCTCTATTGTATCTTTAAAATATTGAACAAACAATGCTCTTGACCTTTAAGAGACCTGATCATGCCGTGGGGCATTAGTTGGGGCTTGTGGTAGTGTATGGTTGTTAAAATATTCTTTTTATTGATTCAAAATTATTAGTGATTTGGATAATTAGCAACTAATAAAAGTATTTTTTCTACAATACTCATAACTTTTATTCTACAATAAGTTGCCAATCACAAAAAAATCATCACAAATCCCATTTCTCCAACAATTTGTTATTTAACTCTTTTTCAGCCTGCAATAACAGCATGGCAAGCGCTTGACATTAACATTTTTTCTTCGATTACATAGGTGTTAGTTAACCCTGTTGTAAACACGCTATGTTTTCCACTGGTGCATTCTTTATTTTTAAGATTTAATTCTAACCAATTAAACAAACCATGTTTGTTAGCATTATAGTTCTGTTTTATTTTTTGAAAAGTTAGAAAGTGGCTTCCACTTTTTTTCAAAAGGAATGACCTTTAAAAACTAAACTAAAAAAAAAAAAAAAAACGTTTAGAGGGGGCAATAACACCTAACTGGCTACCTATAAAGACCTATTTAATTTCAGGTAAAGATATCGCATGTGGAATATTAAATTTTTTGTTATAGTCATTGAAAGTTGTGTCACGGAAAGAACCTATCGTTCCTTCAGTGACACAAGTTTTAAATGCCTATAACTAAAAATTTAGAATTCTACTAAGATTGTCTTTTCTCAAAATTAAATAGATATTTATAGGTAGTATGTTTTTTTTGCATTTTTGCCCCCTTCTAAGCTTTTTCATTTTTATTTTTGAATTTAAAATTTAGTTTACAAAGGTCATTTCTTTTGAAAAAAAAGAACTTTCAATCATGCCCCTATGGTGTTAGCATTTGACTTAGGAATGCATTGACTTCATCAGAAAAAATTCTAAATGGTATATCATTTCTTCCAACTATTTTAACTTTCGTAAACAAATTGCCATGGTTTGAGATTATTTTATTTTAGGTTAAGGTGCTTCAAAAAAACTTAATGGAGTAGAAACAGCCAATTATCAGCATTATTTAGCTGATAATGGGCTGTTCAGTTCGAATCAAATAAAAGAAAACAGTTAATAAGCTTTCATTTATGTCTTATATCTAACAACTTCTTAAATAGTCTTATTACACAGGTAGGGTATAATCCATAAGTAAAATATTTATTAAAAGCACCATGAATAAAAATTTTTTTTTTTTTTTTTAAATAAAAGAAAGCTATAGAAAAAATTAGGATTTTCAAATTTTGTTAAAAAAAGTTTTTATGCAATAAAAAAACTACTAACAACAGTTTTTTAGTAGTTGTTTAGATTAAAATATTTTTATTTATTTAACTATATTTACAATTAAAATATATCATTATAATAAAATATTATAAATATTATATTACATAAATGCTATAATGTCATATTATATTATATGTCATTTATAAAAAATAATGTTTATTATTGATTTATTGTTATAATCAGTGCTCGAAGTGAGGCGGGATGCCATCCCATCACCTTTTTATAAAGTATATACCATACCGCCACCTTTTCATAAATCTCTATATATAACAATGATTAGACAGGATGGAATTTTTAATTTACCCAATACCATCCCGATATCCCGATATAATACCATCCCATACTTTTTTTTCTCCACTTCGAGCACTGATCATAATAATATATTATTCTAAAATTTCTAAATTGGTTTAAAAAAAAAAAATTTTAAACAAAAATGATGTTTCTAAAACTTTTATAAAACTTGCTTCTTTGGGAATAGTTAAAATTTGAAGTAATTTAAAAAAGTTTATTTTTTGATAATATTGACTTTTTGATAATATTGAATTATTGACGTTTAATGTCTATAATAGATATTATAGACATTAGACAAGTCCCTTAACCATAGACAACCCTATAGGATATCTACAACAGGATAACCAGCATAGATATTTAAATACTTTTATGAAACTTAAACTTGTTAGACACATAATCTGATGTATGTCTTATATTGTATACACTAATAATTATATTAAAGATGTGCTCAACCTCTAAATATAATTTTTATAACAAAATTTTAATAAACTTTTTCTTTTAATCCAGTACTTTAATTTGTTAATGTTTTAAGATTCATTCTATTTCTATTAAATATTAATAAAAATAATAATTTACTAATAGTTGTATTAAAAATTCTTGCATATTTCACAACTTAATACAAATTATAGCAAACATTAAACATATTCACAGGAATTTTTGTTTTGCATGTATAAATTATGTAAATATTTATGATATATGAATTCTGTAGAGTTGCCTAAATCTTGTAGAATTGCAAGATCAGTAAGGAAGTGACAAGACCAATAGGTCGTCTTGGAACACATTAACAAACTAAATGTAAAAAATAATATTTACACAGAAAATGTTCAGATAATAAAAGTAACAAACTTTTTATTGCTTTTAATGAAATAGATTTGAGTAAGTTTAACTCTGTCAATTAGAGTTGTGGAATACATAGCCTTCAGCTGCTTTGAGAAGAACATTTAGATTGTGGAATAAAAGTTATTTCAAACATATTACAACAGAGATCTCATACATCGCCATACAGATTACATACATCGACTGACAAATAGCCTGACTCGCAGTGGAGTGCTGCTACATCGACTGAGGGTTTGGTATGGGTCAGCAACCTTTTCATTCATTAATCTTCATTTTCCCTCATCGTTTTCTCACAATGCTCACTTAATTTAGACTAGCAAAAAGTGAGCAATTGCGCATATAAATATACTATAGTATGTATATATATATATATATATATATATATATATATATATATATATATATATATATATATATATATATATATATATATATATATATATATATATATATATATATATATATATATATATATATATATATTGTAACAGAAGCGCTATTAGATACACTAGAAATATATGAAATTGCTGTTTTAGGTTGAAAAAAAACCTGTTAAAGTAGAAGAAGTGCATCTAATAGCGCTAGAGTGTATGTATATATATATAAGTTGTTTAAATTTAGTATAAAACTTATGAATATAAAAATTGTCTACTTTAGTATAACATTTGTGAATATGAAAAATGTTTACTTACATATATCTACATATATATATACATATATATATATATATATATATATATATATATATATATATATATATATATATATATATATATATATATATATATATATATGTATATATATATATATATATATATATATATATATATATATATATATATATATATATATATATGTATATATATATATATATATATATATATATATATATATATATATATATATCACTTACAGCAGAATATTTTGGTCGCCTATTGAAATTAGCCATAAGAAAAAGCATTTATAGTAGTAAATTATATAATCCTAGAAAAGCTAATAATACAAATAGATAACATTATCCATGTTATAAGATGTCATAATGATTATTATGACAAAGTGTTATTGACAATTTATTAACAAAAGATTTTATAAACTTTTAGAAATAATTTGAAAACATTCATCACATAAATATAGTATTTAACTTTAAACAAAACAACTTTTAAACATTTGGAAAAGACAGTATTGCCAGTAGTTAATCTTATAAATTAAACTTTGTTTTATTTTTATACTGTGTACACATTTAAAAAGAAATTCCTTGCGTACTTACACTTAACTTAAGTACTTACACTAAAACAAAGCATAAGTGAAAATGTTTTTCAAAAACCATATGTAAAAAAAAAGTAGATTTTTTTAATTACCTGATAAGTTTTTCTTTTAATGCGTCTGAATCAATTTGTAGCAAAAATCCTGGAAATTGAAGAACTAAAAAAAAAAAAAAAATACTAAATCATAAAAAAACATAAAAAGTCATATTTCTGTCAAGGCGACTCTCCTAATAAGTGGTTAACTGAATTATGTTTTTCTATAGATTGCAAATTATATAAACCAGGAAAACAATATGAAGTGACCAAATTCCGAAGAACTGATGTTCAAGGAGAAAACTAGACAAATAAGAACTTTTGAAGCACTTAGGAATAGTTACATTAAAAAGATGAGACTTAATTGAATAAGTAACATAAGAATAAATTTTGGTAGATACCAGAAGAGACGCTAGCTTTAGGGGCACCTATAATGGGCGCTGCTCTTTACAGCAGCATTACGACAATGTGACAATGATTGAAGATTGGCTGCAAGAGCATGTCCAACTATGTTGACAATGCATTTTTGCACTTTGGCTAAAGGAGAAAAAGCATCATTCAAAGATCCGCTCCAGATATGGCAACAGTATTCCAAACAAGGGCAGATTTGAGATTTATAGAGATAAAGAATAGAATCCAGAGTAAGAAAGTGGCGAAAAGAAAATGGATTTGATATATGGTTTCCAAGAAAGACTATTACTAGAAAAGTCTATTCAGTTTACTTACTGTTACTAGAAAGGTCATATAAATCAGTTTTTTTAAACGGTATTAATGCAAAACCTATCCACTGTTGCTAGATTTTATATTATTTTTCTAAATAGTCTTTATTCTTTATGTAAGTATGAGTCAATTTTGTTTTAAAGATTTTTAGATAAATAGCACTATTTACTTACATTTTAATTAACTAATAGTCAGTTTAACTTAATGTATTAGTAGCATTGGCAATCGTAATGTTCACTTTTCACCGAAAAAACATTTTTTCAAGTTTTTGCTTAAAACTATTTTTTCCAGAACAAAATTCAATTATGAAAAAATTAAATTTTAGTTTTCATTTACTCTTACCTTTCATTTACTCTTATCTCCTTTCTTAACTTAGGTTGAGTAATTCTAAAAATATGTTAACGTTTCCTTTGAATTATTTCTAAATCTTTAGGTTGAAAAAGATGATTGGTTCACTGGTAAAGACCACCTTATGTCCACAAATTTCAATAATCTCATTCTACTGCAGATTTATTTATTGTAATAGCAAGTTTCATTGTGTATTAGTTACCGAAGTATTAGTTAGAACCGAAGTATACTGAAAAACATTAATATGTCATATGCTATTGCTCTTGATATTAGTTACCGAAGTATTAGTTACCGATGTATTAGTTACCGAAGTATTAGTTACCGAAGTATTAGTTAGAACCGAAGTATACTGAAAGACATTAATATGTCATATGGTATTGCTCTTGATATTAGTTAGAACCGAATATTAGTTACCAAAGTATTAGTTACCGAAGTATTAGTTACCAAAGTATTAGTTAGAACCAAAGTATTAGTGACCGAAGTATTAGTTAGAACCGAAGTATACTGAAAGACATTAATATGTCATAAGCTCTTGATATATCAAAGTCTTTCATTAAAGCCTTGGTTGCATTTTTTAACATTCAATTTAATATTTAATATTTAGATTGGTAATAACAATAAATGTTTAAATTAAACTTGTTTTAATATTTTTTACAATACACTTGTACTGATTTTACAATAAACTTGTACTGATTTTACAATACACTTCTACTGATTTTACAATACACTTCTACTGTGGTTTTTACAATACACTTCTACTGTGTTTTAAAATACACTTCTACTGTGTTTTATAATACACTTGTACTGTATTTTTTTTTCACAATATACCCAACTTAGTTTTTTAGATTCTTTTGCAGACAAGATGAATTCTTTCAACAACAAAAAAAGGACATTTTTGTTATTTTTAAATTTTAAAATTCTATAAACTATTTTAAAAATTATAGCAAATAAATAAAAGAAACTATATAAAATAATTTTATTTAAAAAACATATTTTTTATTTAATAAATACTTACAGTCATCATTTTCAGGCTGGGCATAGTTTCCGACCTCAGAAAAACTTATGTTTCCTAAATGAAGAATTCCAGCAACTATCTGTAAAATACTAGATTGATTTGCTTCACTTATTCCCATAGTATACATGGCATTCTGGAAAATATTTTACAAATATATAATACATTATTCTATCATTTTAATAATGTATTTACATTTACAGTCTCTTGCAAAAGTTTAAAATTGCAAAAGTTTAAAAAAGTTATGTATTTTTTAGGTAAATCCATAATTTATTGAAAATGACAAACACAAATGGCATACACAAAGCTAAGATTTAATTTATGTTATATACATACACATGTAGGTATAATCAGATTGTTTTAACAACCAAACATGATGATTCTTATATTCATTTCTTTTCATCAACATTCGCAGGTGCAATTATTTGATATTATCAAGCCCTACACGTTTTTTTTTCTTCTCTTAACAATATATATAAAATTTATGTCTCATCTAAATTTAATGTTTTATATTAGATCAAACAAAAGAATTTTGATTTTGATAAACAAAAGAATCTCAACTTGTTTTTTGCGCAGCAGCCTTGTTCATCCAGGTTTATGTTTCAGAATTATAGAGTTGAGAAAAGGTTGTAACCACAACTAAAATAGCCTCCTTGACTGTAGAGGCCTTCATTTCATTACCTGTTCATAAAAAATGTTTTGCAGCAAAAAAGTGTAATATTAAAAAATAACTAATATTTAAACAAACAAGTTAACACGTCTTCTTAGCATAGCTCTAAATACTGTTGCAAGTCCTTAAAAAATCAATAAGTCTAATCAGAAAGTTAAAAATATTGATTATAGAAAAATATCGGAGAAATACAAAGAATCATTTTCACACTTTTATTTTAAACTACAACAGTGTTGAGCATAGATGGCATAAATGTAATAATTTATACTTTTATAAATTTATATATTTTTAAAATAAAGTATTGGATGGTGACTATCTTGATTATTCTGTTGCAATGCATTAATTATCTACATGTCACCCAATACCATCAAAAATAAAGCAGCACTCAAAGAGTTAAGTAAAAAGAAAACTAAGGTATGGGGATGATGTAAGATGTAAGCTTGTCACTAGAGATAAAGTCAGCTCTATCATTTTATTATGAAAAGCAATTATTATGCTATTAATTATTATGCCTAATTTCCAGATCTTAGTTCAGCTCATCACCCTCTGTGGTAGAAAGGAAATCTAGACCTATTTTCACTACCCCAAATAAAGCAAACTACTTGCCATTCTGATTTTTCCTTAATTATTTCCATATAATGAACAAGTATCTAAAGTTGCATAATTACACAGTGGGTAATACACCTTTTTAATGACAAAATTTCTGCTCCACTAAACAGTTGGCCATTTATAGATTATTTGAGTGAGCATTTTATTAGCAGTTTACTAATTATTAAATTGATTCAGACAACATTGAGCACAGCAAACATTTTTTTTTCAGTTCTTTTAAAATATTTAAGTTGTTAAAATATAAAGATTGTACTGCCAAAATATATTTTGTTAGTAAAAAGACAAAATATAAAGATTGCCAACTGTCCTTTTCCTGTATTAACAACACCAATGTTAATTCCTAGAAAAACTATTGATTATATCATCTTTTGAAACATGCTATTTCTATTTCAGTTTGAATTGGATGTGGGAATCATAAGCTTACTCTGCTTCAAAATTTACTTGGAACCTTTCCTGCAATAAGTGATGTTGATGCAACATTATTGACTATATGGAGGTTTATTCATTATAAGGCTCATTGTTCTTCAAGAAATTGCTGATATCTATGATGAAAGCTTTGAAACACTAGTCTGTCAGCTGTTTCTCCCTTAAATGTAGCATTACAGACATACACTTCTAATCTATTTCATTATTTCTTGATAAACTTCTTGCTGAGAAACATTCTTGGCTTGTAATAGAAAAATTTAACTATTTAAAACAAATTGGTTAAAAATAACTCGCAAAGGAAATAAAATAAAAGATTTAACTTCTTTTAAAAATTGCTTTTAAAGATTTTCCTAAAGTCTTGAGAGCTTAACTATTAAGATAAAAAGCAAGTTTAGTAAGAAACACTATCAATCTAAAATTGCACCACATCAATTTAGAACATCTACATACTACAACATCTCACAATCTGTAAATAAAAAAATAAAAATAAAAAGGCTTTTGTTTTCTAAAAAATCTTTTTCTATTAATTTTTGGTCATGTAAAGTGCTTAAGTTATTGTAATTGGAGTGGTTTTCCTGATTATTTCTAAACTTTTTGAAAGGTTTAGAAATAATCAGGAAAACCACTCCTTACATAAAATTAGGCATTGTCCATATAATGGACTAAATACAGACTAGTTAATATAGAATTTAATATAGAACTATCCTTCTTTAGAGATAATAAAAGTTGTAAAATTTTTATAAATTCTCATGTTATTTTCATAACTGCAACATTTAGGAGATGATTAATTTCAGGAGATAACATTTAGGAGATGATTGCTAACAACCTTATTTCTCTAAATTTTATTTTTATTCAAAATTAAATCATGGTTGACAGAAAGAGTAGAGAAAAAAAAGCACAGCTAACCCATAAAATAGAAATAAAAATTGCATTAAAAAATATTTTGTGCCTAAGAACTGCTTTATTGTACATCAACAGTTAAACATTTTTTAAGAATTCAATAATAATATTGCAGATATTATGAATATTAAGCAATAACTAGCAACTAATTCACCAACATAGTTATGCTAGTTCACATTTATCAAACCCATGGATACTAGAATTTGGTAGAAGATTTGGTCGATTAAAATCAATAGTGAAGGAATTTTTAGTATGGACTGAACAGCAACATTTGTTTAACATCAGAGCACCAGAGCATAAAGAATAATGAAAAAAATTCAGTAGAAAAAAATCCCTATAACAAGAAAATGTTGATTTAAATTGCACCAATGTGCATGGTTTAAATTGCATGCTTTAAATTGCATCAATGTCCATGGTTCAAATTACATGCTTTAAATTGCATCAATGTACATAGTTACTTAATGTTTCTATTTATATTTATAAAAATTAGAATTTCAACTTGACCATTCATTTAAAAATAATACAAAAAAGTTTTGAAACATATGAACAAAGATTCAGAACTTCAAACGGAGGATTCAATGATTAAATATATTAAGAAAATTGTTTATAGAAAAGTTATAGCAATTTTGCTGCTGTCCTGTTGGCTCAAGTGCTTTGTTGGTGTTTAATAAGTGTTTTGTTGGCATTTGATAAGTGTTCTATTGACATTTGATAAGTGTTTTGTTAGCATTTGTATTAGCAAACCTTTTACTTTATTATTTGCATTTGTGTTAAAAGTTTGCAGTGTTTTCAGTCTAAATATTAGACATTAAAATTAAACTTAAAAATAAAATTATTCTTTATTGGATATTATTTACAAAATGTAAAAAAAAAAAATACATTTGAAACATTTTTTAATATAAAAATTATAACATTAAACTAAATAAATAACAAAACAAGTTTTCAAAAATTTTACCCGTGTATCATTGTACTCTTTTGCATCATTTACACCATCAACATCATAACATCCACTTTGGTTTAAATAATAATAATAATCCGCAGTAGTCAAGCCAAATTGCTCTTTTTTTGAAAAAAAAATTATACTGATTAATGAGTTTCTTTTAAGATAAAAAAAAATAGATATACATAGGATTTATACAAACTAAAAAACTTTAAAAAAACAACCAAATTTAATGTTCTATATTTTACAATATGCATATACAAGTATCAAAGCATAAAAATACTTTAATACTTTTGAATATATAATTTCATAACCCATCAATGAATGTGTTAAGTTGATGTAGTAAGCAATTATATTTTTTATAAAGTATGAATAAAAAATATTTTTGTTAAAAATATTATTATTACCATTATTTTCTTAACCACCTACTGTAAATATTTTTACAAGGTAAAAGTACACTCAAAAAAAATTGTTTAAACTTTGAAAGGAAGAAAAGAAATCATTTTGGAATGTTTTCTTTTAGAGTTTGCTTGAAAATGTTTCTGTTTTTTTATGTTCCACCAATCTAATGAGTATTTCAATTTTTCTCAATATCTTTTGGAATTTTATCCCTCACCACCACAAAACATATTCTGTATTATAACGTATATGTATCAAATAAACAAAAAGTTTTTAAACCCCTTGTAAAACAAAGAAACTGTTTTCTGTTGTAACACAGCATAACAGAAAACAGAATAGAAAAGTCTGCATTAGCCACACACAAGAGACATTGCACTTAAAAATTGATACTAAAAATTTGAGAGGAAAGTTTGTGAGGTATTTAAGATACAATACAACCTATGTACCAAAAAATGGTATCAATCATAATGTGACAATATGTGTAAACGAAATTATGGACACCAATGTTTGCACATAGCACACACACACACACAAACACACACACACACACACATACACACACACGCACACAGATTAACGTCACAAAAAACCATAAAAAGGCAAAAGTAAAAAAATTGACACAAAAATGTTTAAAGTAAAACTTCGGTTACAAAGGTATTACAAAATTTATAAAAACAAAAAGTTTTTTACCCGTTAATGAACATTTTTGAATGAATTGAGTTTTTTTTTTAATGAATGAATTTTTTAATGAATTTGCATTATTATTTAGAAACATTACCGTTTTACATGAAAAATTTTGAAAAATAGTAAAAAATGTGAGTTTATGATTGGTAGAAAGAATGTTGACTTCATAAAATATCTATAATTTATACATCATAACATCAAATTGCTTTAAGCAAAATAAAATTGTTTTTTTTTTTTAATTTTTTGGAAATAAGTTTTACAAGTTCAATGCGGTAATGGTGTAGTGGTAAAGCCCTCGCTTCATAAACAAGTGGTTCCGAGTTCGATCCCCACCACGTCCCTGGTAGTACCACGCTCAACTCATTCCTCCGTGCAGCGGCATTGTTTATCAAGGTTCATGTTTCAGAGTTATAGAGTTAAGAGAGGGTTATAACCACAAATAAGTAGCCTCCTCATCTGTAGTGGCCTTCGCAGCCTTGAGGAGGTGAATTAAATTAAAAAAAAAAAAAAAAAAGTAAAATTATATAAAAAGTATAAAAATAATCATAAAATGGGGGAAAATTATAAAATGCGGGAAAAAGCGACAAAAAATTATTCTTATAAAAGGAAACCGTGATCTGAAACACCCGCTAAGAAAAACGTAAAAGTTTACGAAAGAAAATTACAATTATAATTTTTCAAATAAATATTCTTGCGTTAAAGTTTTTATCAACAAATGTTTTCTTAAAACATCCTAATATTTCTTCTATCATTTCTTTTCGGTAACCAAAACTGAAAAAGTTCGATTAATATTTGAATAGCTTTTTAACTGTGTAGAACGTGAGAAAAACATTTTTTCAATTAAACTTTGAATGAATGATACTTCGATCTAAATTGCGTGTTTTTTTCAATTTCAAATAAACTTGGAGTTTTAGAGGAATGAATGATAACTCGGATCTAATTTTCGTGTTTTTGTCACGAAATGTAATAAACAATGTTACAAACAGTCCTTTAGTTTAAACTATAGTTTTAACTAAATGAATGTAAAAAATATATTTTATATTATAGATATAATAAAAATATTTATATTATAAATATAACGAAAATATATTGCAAAATAAATATAAAAAAATAATCATAAATGGACGAGATATTAATAATAATAATCTTAAAGCTAATGACATCTAACAATGCGCTAAAAAATATCTAAAAGTGATAAGAAAATAATTTTTTTTAAATGTTTTGAATGAATGACTTTGCATAATCGAATGAAGAATCAAAAGTTAACTTGATCGACTTAATTTCTTATTTGTTAATTTTTATAATAAGTTAGGATATGCCAAGCAACTTATCATAAATTTTTATATACTTAGGCCAAACAACAGTCCGGCTTTTTTTTTTTTTTTATAAGGGCGTGCCAAAGTGCATTTATAACGAAACACTTAAAAAATATTGTTTAAAAGGCTTGTTTGTATTGATAACGTGACACTTTAAAACAAGGTCCGGTATAAGTTTTTATTTTTATTTTATTATTGTTTCGGAATTTTAAACAAAGTGGAAATTCTGCGGAATAAGCAGTGCTATCAATCAGTGCAATCTAAAAACTTTATAATTTATTCAAACACATTTAAGTCTTAAGAGTTTCAGTATAAAAAATGATGTCAATGTAGCAGGTTTTTTTTTGAAAACATCTAAATACTTTTTTCTACATTAAATCAGAAAAAATTTATTTGTTATTTTTTACTAAATCTCATAACATTTGTAAAAAAATTAAAAATAAATTAGTACCTTTGGTTTTTAGATTTTATTAATCAAACTTATTTGTAATGACTATCAGAATAATTGTATATATCTTTGATATATTTTTAAGTTTATATACATTAGGTATACATTTTTTGTTTTTAATAAGCTTTTCTTATCAATCTCATAACTTTCCTATATGTTTGAAAGAATGCTGAATATAAGAATGTTTTTTTTAGTTGGATCTAGGTCATTTATAGCTATGACATTTTTGTTCTCCTATCAAAAAGACATTTTACAAGTTTTTATATTTTCAATTAATAATTAGAGATATTTGAGCAATTCTTTAACTTTAAATTCAAAAATATTGGATTTAGTTCAAATTGACAAACTTTGATCATTTGCATATGGATATAAAGGTAATCTTGTTATACTTTACATTTGGATTTTAATAACTTAACTGTTTAAATGTCGGTAACTCCATACCAATTAAAACCTCCTTAAAAAAGACAAAAAAAAACCTATATGGATAAAAAAAACAAAATAACTGACAATCATATCAGATATAAAAATTTGAATTTTGATATTACTAAAGCATCAAAATCAAATTGTTTAAATGTTAACATTGAACAATAGTATATATGTGAATACTGTAAAACTATCCCACATAGGGATATATGACTAATTTAAACTGGATGTAAGTTTTCAAAGAGGTTTTAACAGTTAAATTTTTAAGAACAACTACTTCTTTTTGAAAAATTGCTGCTAGATTTTTACCCATTAGACTCAAAACGTCAAAAATATTACCTTGAACTTATTCAAGGAATAAAAGCAAGTCTTCGACTTGGTTAAAAAAGATCCTTTTTGTTAAAAAGCTTTAAAATTTACAAGTTTTGATTCATGCCTACTTTTAATTGAATATTTTTAAACATACCTTTTATTACTATACAATCTACTGTTTTATTTTAGGTTTTCTAATGTTAAAATATGATTTTAATTTTGTAAATTTTCATGATTTGAAATTTGCTTTATTAATCATTATAGGTGCCTCAAGAAGCTTAACAGATCCCCCTCTAAGGAACCTCTAAGGATCCCCAATATCATCAATATTTCAAATATAAGTCATGTCTGTCTCAAATAAAATAAAATTATGAAAAAATCTGAAATATATTATATATATATATATATTTATATATAAATATTTATATATATACAATTATATATATATATATATATATATATATATATATATATATATATATATATATATATATAATTGAAAATATAGCAAAAATTAACTCTTTATAGATGCTTAATTAATCAAATCAAATTTATCAAAATTTCATGACTAATTATTATTTTGATAAATAATTCCCTATGTTTTTATAGTCGCGTCTCATGTTTTTGCTGTATCACAAAATGGTAGATGCTGGCTTCACTAAGTTATACGCAAAAAGCAGAGAGTCATACATCTAGTTATATTTATATGTCATTGGGTATTATAAAATAAGAAACAAATTTTTAAATACCAACTAAGATAATAAAATAAATTATTAAAACAATGTATTAGTAAATATTTATATTATTAACTATTAATAAAATAATAAAAAACACCAACTTTTTGTACATTATCGAAATGTAAAGTAAAAACACTTTAAATTTTTAAAGACAAAATTTAAAGTAAAAACAAGTTGTTTTTTTAAAGATGCAATAATAAATCCACGTCATTTTGATTATAACTCTGTTTTGATTATAACTCTAATATTCAATGTTTTAAATCAAATTAAAATTGTGAAGTTTTTTATGCCTTTTTATACAATTTACTCTTTACAAAATTAGACAAATAATTTTTCTAGGTGTTCCTTTATTATTTTGTTTTAATTGAATTAAACAAAACAAAAGGTTTTTCGAAAAAATGCATTTTGGGGTCAAACTTAGGAGCTGCAAAACACCCATGTTCATCCAGCTGGTTCAAGTCTAGTGTCACATCTTGTTTTCTTATTACTAATTCATTACCAAGCAATGAAAAAGTTTCTGCAACAATTTTTATTACAAATAACTTTTTTAAACATTTATTATGAACAACTGTTCATAATATCTGAAAAAAATGTAATCTAATACACACAAAAACACAGTCAAAAATTAAAAAAATGCAAAAACATAAAAATTACCTTTATCTTCAGGTGATGCTCCACTGATAAGTTGATAAAATATATGAAAGTTGCGTTCATCTCGATTTTGACAAACAACTCTAGACTGTAAAATTAAAAATGTATACTAATTATATAACAAGAAATTACTAACATTAATATTTTCAAGTTGATTTTTTTTAAAGAATTACTTTACAAAAAAATCTATATATTCTGAACCAACATCTTGATAGCATTTTCAGGTTTGTTTAGGATATAAAATGGTAAACACATATCATGTGAACACGCAACAATTTTTTTAAATTTTTTATTTGAAATGTTGTCAATTATTATTACAATACTTTTTAAAAGCAAAGTAAACTCTTTTGTTGTAACCTCTGCATCTCCTTAGTAAATAGGAGCAAAAAAAAAAAAAAAAAAAACTATTAAATAAAAACAAAAAGACTTACAATATATCTCATATCTAAAATTATATTTTTAATAATTAAAGAATAAAAAAAATATAATGAAAAAATCAACAGCTTTGAATAAAGTTTAACCTTTTCTAATAAGAAATTTGATATTTTCCCTCCTTCTGGCTGACCACCTCTACTGAACTGAATCTCTACATACTTCCCCTAACATGTATAATTATTTGGTTTATTAAACTTTAAAAAATATAAAGATTTTGTAATAAATATTCCATACAAATACCATTTTGTTAATAATAAATAACTATTCATACCTGCTTACTTCAAATAAAAAATAACAAAAGTAAAAAACTTAAAAGTTATAAGGCATTTAATTTTGGGTTTGTAAAAAACAAAAAAACTTTTAACGCTAGCTGTTAATCAATATTCTATTATTAAATCATTTTTTCATGAAATTTATAAAATGGCTACAAAGCAACCAGTGGTTGTTGATTGATTTTAAAGGAAGTTAAATTTTTAAAAATAAAATCAGGGCTGAAACTAGGTTGGGTCTTGCTTTAATGTTAATGAAGTTTTTATGAGGATAGGTAGGGTAAAAATATAATAAATTGGGGAGAATTTTAAAAACAAATAGCTTTTGTGTTATCTGATGGAAATTATAAAAAAATATATAAATTATTATAAAAAAAAATATCCAACTAAAATTTAATATTGCATAATTTTGATGCCAAATAGAAATTATGAAATATAAAAACAAATATTTTCTGTTTTATCTGATGGAAATTATAAAAAAATAAATAATTATAAAAAAAAAAAATATCCAACTATAACTTAACATTGCATAATTTCAATGACAAATGAAGTGTTGCGGGAGAGAAAGGCGCATAAAAAACTATAATCTTTGTTTTTGATATGACATTTCTCTTTACCAGGTAGTGTATTTATTCTCCAAAATTTTATAAAACCAAAGATTTCAAAAGACTTTATATATTTCATAATTATTAAAGCTTAAAAACTTATTTAAAGGCTACAGCTTTTTTTAAAACAAAGAAAATGCTTTTCCATATTTGTCAAATATTTTTCTCAATGCTTTTCACAAAGCAAAACTTACAAATCTACTAGAGTTGTTGTTGCGAACAGTTTTAGCATTTCCAAAAGCTTCCAACAGTGGATTTGACTCTAAGATGACTTCTTTAACTTTTTGAACACTTTCGCCACCACCAGAAACTTTGGCAATGTAATTCATGATATATTTAGCATTCACAGTTTTTCCAGCACCTGATTCACCACTATTGAAAATAAATATTTTAGTAAAATTAATACTTTAATTAATTTAAAGGGAGAAATTAAGCACTCAATACTCAAAAAAATACACAACAAAGTATTTTTGCAAAAATTTAGTTGAATAATAAAGGAGATATTTAGACAAACATTTTTGAGGGATTTTATTTTTTTTTATAGTTAAACAGAGGCAGGGCTTTGTTTCAATATATATTAGGCTGCCTACAAATTTTTATATGCTTTTAAATTTCAAAATAAATAAAATATTTTAAGTTTACCATCAAATCATTAGAATTTAGAGGTATTAACTTTATTTGCATTCCCTCTTTTATATAAATTTTTATTCACCCATTTATTAACCCAGGGTTATTCAAAATCAACTATTCAAAATCAAGTTTTACTTTAATACTAGTATTAGTATTTTAAAATACAGACTTTTAAATCTTGGTCAGCTATTTAGTTGACCAACTTTCAAAATCAACTATTCAAAATCAAGCCAAGTTTTACTTTAATACTAGTATTAGTATTTTAAAATACAGACTTTTAAATCTTGGTCAGCTATTTAGTTGACCAGCTTTACAATACTAGTATTAGTATTTTAAAATACAGCAAGACTTTTAAATCTTGGTCAGCTATTTAGTTGACCAACTTTACAATAAACACTATATACATATTCACTACAGCTAGTTACTACATGACTAGCTGGAATGAGTATCTAGTTATGCTTTAAATTCATTTGTAAATGTTGAACTGACTACTTCACCTGGCAATGAGTTCCAACAACTTTATTATTTAAGAAACTGTTATTGATTGCAGTTTTTTATTAGTTCTTTAATAAAATATCTTGTGTGTTCTCCACTTGCTGGTAAGCTTAATTTTTCTGTGTGCTAATGTATTTACCAAAACTTTTCTCAAATTTAAACTTTTGAATGAAATTGCCTCTGAAGTAATTAGATATTTCCAAAGAATACAACATTGATGTGAACATGTTACCATACCATTTGGTTTGCTTTAGAACAGGATTTACTAACTTCATTTTTTTTGATATTTTTTTTCAAGTTATTTTAAATTTGAATATCAAGATCGCAATCACAATTTTACTTAACTTAAAGAAATATTTTGACAAAATTTGTTATACTCTCAACAATTTAAAATTAAAACATTTTTTTATTTTGAAAAATACATATATTTAAAAAATATTTTTTGATTGGATTCTTGTGAATGTTAAAGTGATTTTAGTAGTCATTTGTCATTTTGATGCCCACTCAGTAATTTTATCAACACCTGATTGTAATTTGGCTGTATCTATTATCACATTTTTATCAATTCTAACTTTGTGTTGCCTACTAGCAATCACCAAAACAGAAGAAAAAAAAAAAAAAAAAAACGAAATTAACTAAAATAAACCAAAATATCAGGTACTCAAATTTGGCTCCAAAACAAAAACCGACATTTCGGCAAATATTTTAACAAAACGGATACCAAAATTTGGCTAGTCAAAATTTATCTTATTAGAAAAACTTATTTAAAAATGCAATTTTTTGTTTTTTTTTATACTCACATTATGTTAAAATTAATTACATGTGTATCCCAAATTGAGATTTAATACATAAGTTAGAAATATAAGTTATTAGCAAAATTTAACAACTTGCAGATTTTCTCTGCAAAACAAGATTTGTCTCTCAATATTTTTGTGAAAATTCCCGAAATATTTTCTGAAGATTCTAAAAAGTATTTTTTAATGGAAATTTTGCTTTTTACCAAATTTATAAAAAGTACCGAAACCGAAATTTCATTATGAGTTCAAATTGGCCGAAATTTCAGTCAAAACCAATACCGGAACAAAATTTGGGTCAACACTATTGCCTGCATACAACTTGATTGATTCAGATTGATACAAATTGATTCATTCAGGAAATTGTTACTTTTTCTTTGACAACCTTTTCTAAAATTTTGCAAGGCACTAATGTTAGACCAATTGGTCTGTAATTTGCAGCCTCAACAATGTTATCACTTTTGAACAATGGAGATATGTTTACCTCTAGCTAGGCAGATGGGACACATTTTTAGTCAAGCAACTTTTGATACATTATTGTTAGTTGCAATCCCCAGTCACCCCCAGTCTCCAGTCACCCACACATCTATATATAAAATTCAGTATTAGACTTTATTTTGAGTCATTTGGTCATTGAATCATTGGATCTCAACACAAAACTAGTTGCTTAAATAGATGTATTTAGATTTATTGCAAAGAAAATATTTCAATAATACTTATTTTAGAAAATAATTTTAAAAAATTAAAGCAATTAAATACTTGGATAAAGAATATTAAAATTGCTTTAAATCATTTTCTGAAAAATAAAATTTCATATATAAATCAATTATTATTTTATAAGATTTAAAAATTACAATTCAAATTAATTTTGATGGTGTTTACTGATCATACTAAACTGGCATTTTCTAATTTACATTTGTTTATATATTATTCTCTTGTTACTATTTTTTTGTTGTATACCTTAATGATATATTCAGTTAAACTCTGAGCGATGAAAAACAAAAAAAATATATAAAATAATTAAACAAATACAAACACTTATGTTATATTTATGTAATATTTATGTTAATCTAAAGAACTTGAAAATTATAAAAATGGTTTTTAAATTAATATTTTTCATTATTTCGAATAAGCGAACATTTATGTTAATTAACAACATTACCTTCTACGCAGAGTTTTTGGCAACTCTGATGCAATTACCCTTTGAGTTTTTTACCTAGAGTTTTTGCTTTGCCACTCTGATGCAAATACCTTTTGATTCAGATTTTGATTCCCCAAAATTTCATATCAATTACACATTAATTACTATTCAACAATAATATTATACATTAATTATTATCAACCAATCCTATAAGACTTTACAAAAGGTGGTTCTGGTCTATAGATGGTTCTGGTCTATAGATGGTTCCGTCCAATAGATGGTTTCGTCCAATAGATGGTTCTATCCAATTGATGGTTCTGCCCAATAGGTGGTTCTGGTCTATAAGTGGTTCTGGTTTATGAATGATGGTTTAGTAAATAGAATTATAGCATCAGAGACTTGCATTATAAAATAATAAATCCTTCATTTCTTAGAAATGATTGGTCATATGTTATTATTTTTTAATATAATATTTATCATGAAAAATAATGAAAAAAAAGTTTGTTTAGTAAAAAATATTTTAGTTTTTACAGAAATTTTTACATTGAGAATATATATATATATATATATATATATATATATATATATATATATATATATATATATATATATACATATATATATATATATATATATATATATATATATATATATATATATATATATATATATATATATATATATATATATATATATATATATATATATATATATATATATATATATATATATATATATATATATATATATATATATATATATATATATATATATATATATATATATATATATATATATATATATATATATATTAGGGTGTCCCAAAAAACAACATTTTTGAAAATAATCTGGTCTCACCCTAAATATGTTCTATATAATGCAAAAACACTAGGTTTAAATTTTTTTGAATAAAAAATATTTTAAGGGGTCCCTTAAGGCCCTCGAATATTTAATGGGTCCCTAATATTTTTGAAAAAAAAGTTTTTCAAAAATATGTCAACCTGGTACTCAAATGAAGCGAAATTATATAAAAATTTAAAAAATAATATTCATTTTGAAACAAAATTGTTATTTTTGGTTTTATTACATAAAAAATTGCGTTTTTTAAGAAAAAATGAAAAAAATGCATTTCTAATGTTTTTTTATGACAATTTTGATAATTAAGTTAAAAATATTTCGAAATGAATATTATTTTTGAAATATTTATATAATTTTAATTCATTTGAGTACCAGGTTGACATATTTTTGACATATTAGGGGGTGAGAGCAGATTATTTTCAAAAATGTTATTTTTTGGGACACCCTAATATATATAAATATATATATATATATATATATATATATATATATATATATTTATATATATTTATATATATATATATATATATATTTATATATATATATATATATATATATATATATATATATATATATATATATATATATATATATATATATATATATATATATATATATATATATATATATATATATATATATATATATATATATATATAGGTATATGTATATATGTATATATATATACATATATATATATATGTATATATGTATATATATATATACATATATATATATACATATATATATACATATATATATATATATATATATATGTATATGTATATATATACATAAATATATATATATATATATTTATATATATATATATACATATATATATATATATATATATATATATATATATATATATATATATATATATATATATGTATATATATATATATATATATATATATATATATATATATATATATATATATATGTATATGTATATGTATATATATATATATATATATATATATATATATATATATATATATATATATATATGTATATATATATACACACATAAATATATAACACTTAATGTAAAATTGTTGATTGAGCAATAAACTTAATAAAATAACTGGAAAATTTTAATTTTAGACATCAAATTTATAAATTCTATAATTATATATTAACATATAAATTCTATATTTATATATTATAAATTCAATAATTATACATTTATATATTACAAATTCTATATTTATACAATTACCTTATAATTACACACTGTTTTTCTTGTTCAATGATCATATTCCTGTACATGTTGTCAGTCAATGCATAAATATGAGGTGGATTTTCATAAGAAGCCTAAATATTTTATTATACAAGTTACACTCAAAATAAGTTATCAATAAAATTCTCCATTTTCATAAACTTTTATATTTTTTATTTCATAGACTTGCACTTGAACATTTTTTGAAAATACATCATATAATACATCATACTATTTATTTAACTATTAATCTAAATATTAATACTGTAAGATTTCAATGTTCAATGTCGTTTCGCTTTTGTTTTTAAAGCAGTTTTAATTAGTTACTAGGCTTTTCTGAACTTGAAACAGCGCGTTCTCAAAATGCATCTGGTCATAAAAGAAAGATCTATCAAGCGAGTTAAAACTTTTTAACTTTGGAATTGAATTATTACTTATTAGTTGAGAAATATTACATAAAGAATCATATTAAGATAAATAATCATTGCTAAGATCATATTATAATTGAAGTAAGTATAGAAAATAGTTTAGCAATTTATATATAATAATTTTATTAAAAATAAAGTAAAAAGGATCACTCCTTTTAATTTTTTAAATCATTTACATTTTGTTTGTTTTAGTTTTTCTTTTGACTTTATTTTTTTCTAGCAGTTTTGTTTTTATTGAGCATATCTTCTATTATTTAGAAGGAAGATAGAGGTATGAATGAGGTCTAATTATTTTTTATGCAACAAAAAAGTTATAATAATGCTATTTCAATAAAATTGGTTATTACTACCATGAAATTTCTGTGATGCTATTAACTGTTTTTGCTCTTTTTTAGAAAATTTAGAAAAATAAATTAAAATTTTGTGCCAACACTGACATGTCACATGTTATCGTATGTAAAGATTAAATTTTTATTATGAGAATTACAGTTCTTATGAAAAAAAAAAGGTAAAGAGTATTGTTTGAATACAAATATTTATATTTTGTTTACTTTGAATCTTTTAAAATTTTCTCATGCCATTTTTAAAATTTTTGTTTGCACAATTCAAGTTATATGTTTATTGTTTGCGGTGCTTTTTTGATAATTATGTGTATATTGTAAAATGTGCTTTATAACTTTTTATTAATGTGTTTTTATAATAATGTAACACGTTTTTTTATTGTTTGTGTATGTGTTAATATAAGTTATATAATTGTTTTGTAAATGTGATTAAATATGTTTAAATATGTTCATATAAGGTTAAATATATATATATATATATATATATATATATATATATATATATATATATATATATATATATATATATATATATATATATATATATATATATATATATATATAGATATATAGATATATAGATATATATATATATATATATATATATATAATATATATATATATATATATTGTGTTTATAGTTGGTTTATATGTTTATATTATGTTATTCCATGTTTTCAAAGTGCTGTGACTGGGTAAACGTGTAAAGCAAGATTTGTCAACCTTGCCAGACAAGTCATTTACTTACTGCAGAGGGTTACACAGCAGTGTTTCGTGTCTAACTGTTACTGCTTTAGGTCTAGGTGTTTTCAAGCCTTTATTAATAATTACTCTGAAAATACATAATAATGTAATTTAATAACATTTTGCGAAATGTTGTTACTTATGTTCTGTTATATATGAATGTTATGTTTCTTAAGTTATGCTATATGCATATTATATGAACTTATGGTGAATGCAATTGTTGTTGTGATGCTGTTTTTTGTAACCTTTTGAGTTTATATACATTTGGTTTACCTTCAAGTTGTTGTCTATTGTTAAAAATGATACATGGGTAATTTCATTATTATACCTCACTGCTTTTAACGATTCACTAAAAGCCTACTACTCTGTATTATATATATTCACTAAAAGCCTACTACTACTACTACTCTGGTAAATCACATCAGCTTTATTAGGTACAATGATTTCTTTTTTTTGTATGTAATGTTTTTCTTATTTACTTATTTGTTACATTTTTTATTTATCAAATGATGTATTTATGTGGTATAAAAGAACAAAATATTGTTAAGTTTTATATTTTTAATATTTTTATCAAAGAAATGATATTGAAGTTTGCTAAAAAGGGTTTTACGACATTTTTTTTATTAAATTTTCTATATTAGGAGTTTTTATTTTATTATTTTTAATGAAAATATCTATTTTTTATTATATTATTTTTTATTTTTTTTAGATCTAAATTGGAGCAGCTACAAACTATATCCCTCCCAGCACCCAGGACCTCTTTCTGAGAGGTCCTTTAACAAATAGTGCAGTAATAATGGTATGGATAAGCCCTCTTTCAAATGGAGGGCTCATCCATACAGGGGTGCTGGAAGGCACTAAGTAAAAAATAGCAATAAAAAAAATTTTAATATCTTCAATCAGTGAAGATATTAACAATTTTTTTGTTGCTGTTTTTTCCTTGGTGTTTTATTTTCATTAAAAAAATATATATTCTAAATTATAACTGACATGTAAAAATTCCTTGGTGCTTTATTTTCATTAAAAAAATATATATTCTAAATTATGTTTGTTTTTATTTTTTTTTTAGTATTTGTTTAGATTATTATATATAGTATTTATTACTTTAATTTTTGATTCGCAATATAACATAGCTATTATATTGCTTCGAATATATACCATATCAGTTAATCAGTTTTGAAAAATGTACTACAGCAGTTTATTAACTGTAACAAAAGTCACATTTAAATTTGTAATATTTTTAAGTTATAATTTTAAACTAATTTGTTGATTTCCAGCAGATTTTATTTCTTTTGATCGTTTTGAATTTAATAATTTAATGTTTATAGCTGCTTTTAACATAGGTAAAGCTTTAATAAACTTAATCTTCTGATTTTAAAGTGTAATAAATAATATAAAATATTGGAAAAAAAGATTAAGTAATAAAAAAAAAGAAAACAGATAAGTAATCTTTGATAAACTTTGTCATGTTTCTTATTATATTATTGACATTTCAGTGATGCTGTTAAATTTTTTTCTTTTCTTTAGAATTTAGAAAAATGAAACTACAACTTTTGTACAGTCATTGTTTGTGAAATTATTTGCATGTTTTTATACAATTTTTTTATAGAAATAATATTAAAGTTTACTAAAAGAAGTTTACAAATACTTTACTTTTTATTATTCTTTTTGTCTTCTATTTTTTGTATAACAGTACCCTTTATCATTAAAATTTTTATTATTATTATTATTTTTTTATTACTATTGGTTAATTTTTTTATTTACATTATATTTTTTTATTTACATTATATTTTTATAACATTAAGTTTATTTTTTGTTTAAACATCTTTTAATGGATATATTTATAAAAATATTTTTATAAAAAACTTACAATATTGTTGTATAATTTGGTTCATTTTAAATGAAAATTTCTTATGTAATGTTTTAAAAATTATTCTTTGTGTGTGTGCATTTTAGAGTAGTAAAAAAAAAAAGATCACTATATTCAAGATTCTTTCAAGATTTTTTGTTACTACTATCAATTAAAAGTGAAGTTTAAATGGATGATATAAGGCTAGAAGTGGCTATTAGTTTAGAAAATAATGGGAATGTTAATAGGCAAGTTGAAAATAATCGTCGCAGAAATGCAAGAAATGGGCTGAGGCGAGATGAAATTAATAATCAACAAAATGCTAGATATGCTGCATGGGAAGCCACAAATAATTTGAATCAAAATGAGGACAGTGTGATTAAGCAAGTTGAAAATAATCGTCGCAGAAATGAAAGAAATGGGCTGAGGCGAGATGAAATTAATAATCAACAAAATGCTAGATATGCTGCTAGACACGAAAGAATGCATTGTATAGCAAGAAGTAATGTTATTCCAGATTATAATTATTTAGGAGAAATTAATCAAATTTGTCAGCACTGCGGTGCTAAGAAATTTCCAGATGAAAAACATTTTCTATGTTGCTATAATGGTAAGGTAACTTTGCCTCCACTTTCACCATTTACACAAGTTTTACAGGATTTATTTACAGGGAGTTATGTAGATTGTAATGCTAATGTTAATTTTTTAAAACATATTTGAAATTATAATCCCTGTCTTTCTTTTGCTTCTTTTAAAGCAGATGTAGTTCAACCAATAAATCATGGGCCTCCATGTTTTAATATATGTGGCTGGTAGAGCTGTGTTTTGCATTTTATATATTTTGTATGGAGAAATATGTGCAATTAGTGAAAGAATTAATTCATTAATATGATATTTTTTAACTGTTCCTATTTTACTTATATTTTTATTAAAATAAAAATTTTCACATTTAACCTTTTTTAATTAACTCTTTTTGTTTTAATGTTTAAGCATCGTCTGCTGTCATCAATGAAACTGGTGAGGTTACGGATTATATTTATATTAAATAAAATCGCATGTTTTTATAATTTTTAATAAATATGATATTTTTAACTGTTCCTGTTTTACTTATATTTTTATTAAAATAAAATTTTTTAGATGTTTAAATTTTTTTAATTTACTCATGTTTTTTTTTAATGTTTGAAGCTTTGTCTTCTGTTACCATTGAAAATGGTGAGGTTATGCTTTATATTTTGATTAAATAAAATTCCAAATATTTATAACTTTTATTATATTCTTCTATTTGTTATTTTAGATCAATTGACATACGAAAGATACAAGATATATCACTCCCAACACCCAGGGCCTCTCTCAGAGGTCCTTCAATAAGTGGTATTCTAATGGCGGTATGGATGAGTCCTTCTTCAAATGGAGGGCTCATCCATACCGGGGTGTTGGGAGACACCAGGTATGGAAGACCTAAGTCAGTTGTAAATTACTCAAATAATTTTAAGTTGTAATTAGTAAATTATTTTACCTCCTCATACTTTTTATGTTAATTTTACAGATGGATTAACATTTTCAAGCTGAAGGCGTTTTTCTAAAAGGGTATTAAATAAGGTTTTGCAACATTAAATTGTGGAAAACAGCCACTATAAATTAATTATGTAACAGACCGACCAATTACATTTTTTAAGCAAATATTGTTTTTTCTGCGAAAAAACACTGATATTTGGCAATATTTCAGTTAAATTTCTCCAGGACGGAAGGATATTGCCACCCATATTTTTTCCTAGAACAGCCCCTGATAGATATATATATATATATATATATATATATATATATATATATATATATATATATATATATATATATATATATATATAAATTTATTGCAAATATACTATAATATACTTACTGCGCCCTGATACATTTCAACTTCTTTTTCTGAAAAATATGGAAGCTGCTTAAAAGGATTAACTGAAACAAGAACTGGACCAATATAAGTCTATATGCATTTGTTAAAGAAAATTGAAACAAACTATTATTAAATATTATTACCACTAATTATAAAAACATAATTAAAAATAATAAAGCTTTTTTTTAAATAAATTTCTTGAGTAATTTTTTTTTTTTTTTTTTACTATGGTTTTTACTTAGGATTACATTTGATCTAAAAACATTCCATATAAAAAAATTTAGGACAATTTTTAGATCCCCCATAAAACATTTGCGAATTAATAGATAATCCTCCATAAAAAATTAGCAAATAACAGATTGTGTAAAAGATTGCACAACACTTACTATTTACTAATTACTATTGTACACAACTAATTACTATTGTCATTTCTCAGTGAGGACAACTTCTTTATTGATGACTAACGAATAATTATCTAAAATTACTTTGACCAATGACTAAAATCATCTTTTATCCAATACACTTTTACTTATCTCACAAAAAATTTAAAGTTAATAAGTTAAAGGTAATTTAGAAGTTACATAACATAAAACTTTAGAAAAGTTACCAGAAGAGCTAACATTAATTATAAACTGTCAATTTATTAACAATGATAACTGGGATATTAAATCTATTATTGATTTTCTAAAAGCGGATTTGTATCACATGAACAAATACTAACTAATACATTTGATAAATCAGACAGATTTATAACTGCTGAAACAGCTCACAAGGTACAACACTAGCAAATTTACACAATTGGACCTTCATTTCAATGTAACAATCCCAATGATAAAATGTTTAACAAAATTATTACGAAAAACTCATCTATTAATTTAAGTATAATTGACATTAAAAAACAAAATAATTATTATAATTATTATAAACAAAATAATTTACTACATACAACAAACATACTACAATAACCAATTTACTACAAACTACAGCTTTAGTATTACAATTTATTGAAAACCTTGGAAAATGAAAATAAAAAAAAAATTAAAATTATTAAACAATTTATCATAAATACATAAAACTATAAGCAACTTTAACGCAATTTAAATTTACAAGACAATAATAGTATTATACGTTGTTGTGGGTGTTTGGAAAATTCTCCAATTACATCAGCCATGAAGCATCCTATTTTTCTACAACGTGATTCTGAATTTACAGACTTATTAATCTACTATCACCATTCTTTAGTCATGCATAACAGAGCCAGAAAAACATTAAATTAACTATACAAAGAAAATATGTCTTTCTTTTCTCTTGCCGCCCCTATCTCTCTTGTATGTTTGCTTGTCTTCTATATTAAAGAACACTTTGCGAGGTATTCTTAAAATATAAACTAGAATGAACTGTATTCAAGTAATACAATAAGAAAATTATTAATGCTAAAAAAAGCAAACATTTATCACATTTAAATAATTGCTAGCTTTTCCTTTGATAATTTTAGAGAATGATAACTACCATTGAATAACAGAAAAAACTCTTTGAGAAAATGATCCAAGAAAAGAAACAACACTAATTGCAAATAAAAGCAGATTGTATTCCAACTAAGCCAACCAAGAAGCATAATTTTGATAAAACTGTTTGTTTGGTAGCCAAATTTGAGTTACTGAAAAAAATTCTCGAAAAAAGAAAACAAAAAACTACATTTTTTAAATAAAAACTGGATAGCCTGTTTGATATATCCAACATAGACACCTAAACATTGCTGAAACATTTTTTTTTTTTTCAAGTTGATTTAGGTGCCCCAAGAAGTCCTTACGGTCTTATCACAGAGCACCGCAGAAGAGCATTTAATAGGAAGTTCACACCTCCTTCCCAACCGATGTCGTAAAACTTGCCCAGAGGTGAGGTTTGATCCATGGATCTTACGTTTCTGAGGCAAGTGCGCTACCACTTCGCCAAGGCTGCTTAAATTAATTAACATTAAGGTAACAATGAATAGACTATTAACTTAAAATTCTTAGAAGGCTAAACTGAATTTCCTCATGCAGGCTGAATAGCTCAAATAGGCAAATCCCTTGCTGAAAAATAAGAAACAACAAACAAAAATTGCAGCTTTTTTTTTTTTTTTTTATTTTAATTCACCTCCTCAAGGCCGAGAAGGCCACTACAGACGAGGAGGCTACTTATTTGTGGTTATAACCCTCTCTCAACTCTATAACTCCGAAACACGAACCTTGACGAGCAAGGCCGCTGCGCGGAGAAACGAGTTGAGCGCGGTACTACCAGGGACGTGGTGGGGATCGAACTCGGAACCACTCGTTTATGAAGCGAGCGCTCTACCACTACACCACTACCGCATTCAAAAAAACTCAAGTAAAAACAGGAATTGTCACATTTAAAAAAAGTGACCTTTCTATAATTGCTACCAAAGAAAATAAGAGATAAAAATTTTACCTTAAAGAAATAATAAAGCATTGATGCAAATGTACAAAAACTCTAAAAAATCCTGGAAGACAACTGTTAAAAAAAAACAACATGTAAATTGAGAAATAGGTCTAGTATTAATCAAGGACAATAGTTACTTATTTTAAAAAAGATTTTAGAAGTAGGTGGAGCAGCTTTAAATTAATTTACACTCTAAAATATCAGTTCATAGAGCAAGACAGCAAACAGAATGGAAGACACAAATCTATTGAAAAAACATGGATTCTTTCTAATTGTTAGAAACTTATTGAGATGAAAAAAAATTTAAGTAAGCTACTAAAATAAAAACAAGAAAAACTTGGTGTGTATGCAATTTGCTTGGTAGTATTAAAATTGCTTATGAAATGTTATTAATGAGCCTACTTTGTTTATGATACAACAGCTGCAAACAAGCATATGATTGAGCTGCAATTATAACTGATAAGCAATTGATTGTTCTCTATTTCAACTAGAATGCAGACATGATATTGCAGAGCTCTTCATAAAAGCGATGTCAAATGCAATCTGTAATCTAAAGAAATCATCAAAATATCAGCTGTTAAAAAATTCAACGAAGAATTTCACAACCTTCCAGCCAATCACAACCTTAGCCAATCACAACCTTAGCCAATCACAACCTTAGCCAATCACAACCTTAGTCAGAATACTAAAAAAATCAGAGTATAGACTGGTGGATAAAAATAGTTTTTTATTTTAATGCATATAAATATTTCAAAGAATTTATGATCATATTTACTGCTTAAGCTATTGTAAAAATAGTAAATAGAATAATATATAATAGATATAAACAAAATAATAAATAAATAATAGTAAAAGTAGGATATTTTTAAATTAGTTTATAGAATATGGACATAAACTCTTGGACATATTTATATGCATACAATAACAGGTAAAAACTTTAAATATCTCAGTAACTTCTATATAATAAATCTCATATGTGTTTCTTAGCTAACTATAACTAATACATCCTCCTTTTTTTTTTATCCTCCTTTCTCCTTCCAAATATCTGACTTGAACATAAATGGCATGTGATCAAACACTATTGCTGACCATGCAAGATTTTTTGAAATCTTTCCTCTTCCTGATGACAAATGTGCTTCTTATGTAACTTTTTGGATTGAAGCTGACATGAAATCTTTCATTCATTCTCAGCAATTCCAAATCAAGCTCACTCTTCTCCATGGTTTTCCTCTCATTCTAACTTCCAAACTAAACTATTACTTCCATATTTACAACCAATTCTCCAGAAAACAGACATCTGTATACTATTGCTAGAAACCATTGTAAAAAGGTTTTGTTTAACGCAAAAGCCTGCTATCTTCAGGTATGAAATCTCAAATTTTGTTTTAAAAATTAGGCTCTTGAGACTTCTGGAGAATCTTTAACAGTGTCTATAACAAGAGCAAATCTGTTATTTCACCTCTCTTGCATGGTTCATATTTTGTTACCTCACCTAAAGACAAAATTGAGTTTACTAAGAATTTTTGATTCCACCAATCACATTCTAACTGATATATACGACAAACAGGTTGATCGATTGTTTAACATTCATATCACTCTAGCTTCTGTACTATTGTGATTTCCTGCATAGACTCTTCTACAGCTTGTGGTCCAGAAAACATACCTGTTATAGTCGTGCAGAAGTGTTCTCCAGAGCTGTCGTCTATACTATCAAAACTATTTAACAAGTTTTTAACAGGCTCTTGCTTTCCAGCCTGCTGAAAAGCAGCATCCCTATTTTCAAAAACTCTGGAAAGCAATCTGACTTGTCTAACAATTACTTAATCTCTCATCTCAACAACTAACAAATACTTAATCTCTCATCTTCAATCTAGTAACTTACTTTCTGATCATCAATATGGATTTCGATCTACTTGTTCTACTGCTGACTTGTTAATGGTAATAACTGATAAGTTTTATTGTGTATTAGATAGATGAAGAGAGGTTAAGGCTATCACTTTCGACATTTATAAAGTATTTGATAAAGTTTGGCATGCTGGTCTTCTCCATAAGTTCTCTACTTACAGTGTATCAAGTAACATCTTAAAGATTAATAAATCCTACCTTATCAATCATAGTATAAAAGTTTTCCTCAATAGACAGCACTCTTCTTCATTTATTGTAACTTCAGGGGTTCCTCAAGGTTCTATCCTTGGCTCTATACTTTTTTGAAATTTACATTAACAATCTCCCAGAAATTTTCACACCCGAGGTAAGATTGTTCACTAATGATACTACTTTTTTTTAATGATACTTATTTTTTCTAATGATACTTATTTTTGTCTTGATAAGAAGCCAACACTCTCTCGTTATCTTGCTTTATAAATATAAACTATATATAGCATATAAGCTTCATCTTTTCTTTTCCAGTAACTTCCAACTCTAAAAGTGGTTGCTATTGACTTTATTTGTTAAAACGATTTCATATAATATGGTATCATTTTAACAAACAAAGTCATTAAATATATAAAGTTTAACAATGCGAATGTAAACATATAATTATAATATAAAGTTATAAAAAAAATATTTAAAAAAAAAAGAACTTTTTCTATATGTTGATTGAAATGCTAATGTTTTTGGACTAACGAATTGGTTTTTTTTAACGAATTGGCTTTGAATGCCAATTGAACGTTAATTGAAATGTTTTTGGACTAACGAATTGGTTTTAAACATAAATAATTTTCTTATGAAAATGTCTTAATGAAAAAATTAAATGATTATATTGTCATATTTCTTTTTCTTAGTCAATGCTATGTCTTCATATAAAAGTTAATATGTAAAATTCAGTTTATAATTTGAAACATTTTTCATATTTTGCACTAAATTATTGCATAATAATTTTTTATTATTTAATAATCTATTTTGTATATTACATATAATGAATTATTTAAACTTGTTTTAATTTGAGAAAAATAAAAAAAGCAGTAGTTAAATATTTTTTTTTTTTTTATTACTAATTAAAAACTTGGCGAATCTTTTTATTTAATTACACAAAACTTAGCCTAAAATTTGCTTAAAATTTGGGGTATATAGATGGAACAGCAAATGTGAAATTAAGCAATGTATGTATCTTAATTGAAGAATATTTTAAAAATTTCTAGATTTTAAAATTATTTATATGATTTATATAAAAATATATTAATAATTTTTTTAGGTTAAAAGATATTTTGAAGAAGAAAACTGCCATAAACTTGCGTTGCAGCTTAAAAATGCTGTATTCAAGAAGAAAAAGTAACATCAGCTTTAAATGTTTTAATCTCTAGTAAGGGACAGAAAATTTTGGTTAATATGATACAATAATAAAAAGGACTCGTATAAAAAATTAACAGAGATTGCATATGAGCTTGCATTAAAACCAAACCTCCCCTGCCTTTACATTTGCTGTCAATGCCCTTAGAAGATGCGGATTGAAGATTATTAAAGGTAATAAAATGATTTAATGCTAGAAACAAGTTGAAAATGTACTTTAAATCTCTTTATCTATTCAAAATACTCACTGCTAAAAATGATGATGGAATTGTATTTCTGTAAAATTTAACGTAAGTTAATGAAATATTTTTATTTCTTTAAGGTTTATATATTAGGTTGACCGGAAAGTAATGTCGTTTTTGCGCATGTTGACATTCGATAATCGTTGGCCAGTTTATTGTGTATCTCGAACACGTGCACAGGTTATTTTTATATTAGTGTGACTTGTTTACTTCTAAATTATTTAAAATTAAATAGTTTTCTTTGCAAATTGGAGTGAAATGGCATACGAAATACAGGAAGTGCATATTCGTCATTGTATGCTTTTTGAATTTCGCAAGGGTAATAACGCTACAGTTGCGACTAAGAACATTAGTGATGTTTACCCAGGTTCATTAGATGTTCGCAAATGCCAAAGATGGTTTTCCTAGTTTAGATCTGGGAATTTTGATCTTTCTGACGCCCATCGACCAGGAAGACCAATGTCATTAGACAACGACATTCTAAGGGCAGAAGTTGAAGCAAATCCATGCCAAACCATCGAAGAATTGTCAAACACCCTTAACCAACCTTGGTCGACCATCCAAGAACATTTACACATGATAGGAAAAATCAGCAGAGCAGGTGTTTGGGTCCCCCATAACTTGTCAGTGCAAAACAAAGCCAACAGATCAACCACGTGCAATGCATTGATTCAACGGGACCATGCAGAACCGTTTCTTGATCGTTTGGTCACTGGAGATGAAAAATGGGTCCTATACGATAATCCAAAACGCAAAAGGCAGTGGCTCTCCCCAAATGAACCAGCACGCAGTACTGCAAAGCCGGGATTACACCCCAAGAAGGCACTCCATTGTGTTTGGTGGAGCATCCACGGAATCGTCCACTTTGAAGTGCTTATTCCTGGACAAACTGTTAATGCGGACCTTTATTGTCAACAATTGGATCGAGTGAACCAAGCTTTAGTTGAGAATTACCCGGCTATCGTCAACAGAAAAGATGTCATTCTTCAACATGACAATGCAAGGCCGCACTGTGCACGACGGACGCTAGAAAAAATTAATGAATTGGGATGGGAGGTGCTGCCCCACCCTCCATATTCACCTGATATTGCCCCTTCAGATTTTCATTTGTTCCGATCCTTACAGCACTTTCTAAGTGACAAAAAATTTCAAACTTTGTACTGCTTAAAAAATGGCATCTCCAGATATTTTGATGACAAACCAATACATTTTTTTCGATCTGGTATAGAAAGTTTGCCCGCTCGATGGCAAAAGGTTGTGGAAAATGAGGGTGATTATATCATTGATTAAAAATAAATATTATAAAAAAATTATTTGTTTTAATTTGACGTAAAAATACGACATTACTTTCCGGTCAACCTAATATATATATATATATATATATATATATATATATATATATATATATATATATATATATATATTTATATATATATATATATATATATATATTTATATATATATATATATATATATATATATATATATATATTTATATATATATATATATATATTTATATTCTTCGGTTAACTCAAACTTTTCGTATGGGAAATAAAAAAATCAAAATAATTTGATAAAAAAAATTTTTTTAACTTTTAATTATTCTACATTAAACAAAAATAACAGCAGCCTAATATTTTCTTCATTTTTTTTTTGTTACATTTAAATCTAAATAAAATGATCAGACATAAAATAATTCTATAATAAAACAGTTTTAAAACAAATCATAATAAAATCATGTTAAAATATTGTTAAAAAAGCAAATATTTTATAGTTATAATAAACTTCTTAATAAAAGATGCTAGCTTATAGGCACATTTTTTTAACCAAATGGTAAGGAAGTCAATTATGTTGCTAATGTAAATATTATACAATATAATAATTATACTTCAATAACAATATAATTATAAATATACAAATATACAATATTTAAGAAAATGAGAAAAGATACATATATAAGATCATCCATGTATCGTTTTTTTATATTATCAACAATGGTCAGCTCCTGAATCTTGGTCAAGAGGACCATATCCTCAACACCACTTGTTTTAACATCAGTCTTACTTTGCCAATGATATGCTGGCTAAAAATATATTATACACAAAAGATATTTAATACTTAATTTCTTAACAATACCACAATATAAAACTTGGTCATTGTTTAAAAAGAAATGATTAGAAACTGTAGGAAAAAGCTACAATAATTTACAATCAGCCTTGTTTTAAAAAACAAATTAAGGAATTTAGTAGCGCTTTATTTAGTTAATGACCTAAAGCAACATATAACTAAATAATAACTTCATATATATATATATATATATATATATATATATATATATATATATATACATATATATATATATATATATATATATATATATATATATACATATATATATATATATATATATATATATATATATATATATATATATATATATATATATATATATATATATATATATATATATATATATATATATATATATATATATATATATATATATATATATACATATATATATATATATATATATATATACACTGAGGCATATTCATTTAGACATCAATTTTTTTCTATAAATTGTCAACTGATATGCATGCAAGTTTTTATCAAAATAATTGTTGTGTTGTGGGCTAATCAAAACCACAAAAAAAATTTTGTCTTTGTTAACATGAGAGTGTGTTTGATATACAAAAGTACATTTTTTAATTGGAATATATCTATAGACGCAATCAGGTTAATAACAGTATTGATTTTTAATCACTTTTACACAAATAAATTGGTAAATTTTAGTGTAATTTGATCTTTTGCTCTGCCAGTATCATTTTTATTGCATTTTACAAAATGCCTAAAGGAAAGTATTTGAAAGATGCTCAAAAAATACAAATTAAAATTGTGGCTCAGAAATCTCACCAGCACTTTCTATACGAGAAATAGCAAGAAAAATTGGAAGATCTGACCATGTTATACGAAACTACATTGCAAAAGGTGACAATTACGGTGTAAAAAAAGCAACAAACAGCACATATTCTACATACAACACCAAACGTAAAGTGGAAGAAACCACACCAAAAACCAATGTTAAAAAAACACCATAAAATTGCTAGATCACAGTTTGCTAAAAACCATATGCATTGGACTCATGAGTGGCAAAACGTAATTTTTTCAGATGAAAAAAAGTTCAATTTAGATAGTCCGGACTCTTACAGTTGTTATTGGCGTGATCTAAAATGAATAAATGACCCACAAACAAAACGAAATTATGGTGGAGGAAGTTTAATGGTTTGGGGTGGATTTTCTTATTCAGGAAAATTGACTCTGTTGTGATTTACCTAAAATGAACTCGATAAAGTATACAGAAATGTTGAATGATTTTCTCATAACTTATATGGATGAAAACATGGACAATAATGCCATATTTCAGCAAAATAATGCTGCAATTCACACATCTAGGCAATCTATGAAATGGTTTAAAGACCACAACATCCCGATTCTCGAATGGCCAGCTTGTAGCCTGGACTTAAATCCAATCGAGAACGTGTGGGGAATGCTAGCAAGAAAAGTTAAAGTTAAAAATCCTTGAAGCATGGTCCGAGTTAGATCAAACTACACTTCAACAACTAGTGGAGTCAATGAAAGGCAGAACTTTTGAGGTGATCCAGTGTAATGGAGGACATACGCATTACTAATTTTTATCTTTTAATGTCAAAAATATGACTGCGTCTATAGATATATTCCAATTTAAAAATGTACTTTTGTATATCAAACATACTCTCATGTTAATAAAGACACATTTTGATAATAACTTGCATGCATATCAGTTGACAATTCATAGAAAAAAATGAAGATAAAGAGAAAAAAATTGATGCGTCTAAACGAATATGCCTCAGTGTATATATATATATATATATATATATATATATATATATATATATATATATATATATATATATATATATATATATATATATATATATATATATATATATAATATATATATATATATATATATATATATATATATATATATATATATATATATATACATATATATATATATATATATATATATATATATATATATTATATATATATATATATATATATATAAAAAAAACCCTCAGAATTAAGGCCGGCATTCGGCAATGTCGACCTAACTGCTGACCTAAAAGTGTTTGAGGTCGGC